TACTTTCCAAGGGTTAGAGAAACCGTTACTTGGTTGTTCACTCGCATTGCACCTTTATCATTGAGCCAATGCAGATTGTACGGCTTGGGGTGCTTCTTCACAGTCAAGCCAAGCTTATTAACCATGTATTCGCTTGCTACATTGGTGCAGCTTCCTCCATCGATGATGAGATTGCACACCTTGCCTTGGACATGACATCTTGTGTGAAACAGGTTCTGTCTTTGTGCTTCCTCATCTGCCTTAGATTGCACGTTTAGTATCTTTTTCATCATCAAAAGATCTCCTGTAGCAGCATACTCTTCTTGCTCTTCTACTGATTCAGATATCTCTTTTTCATTTGCTGATTCGTACTCTCCATTTTCTAAGAGAACCAGAACTCTCTTGTTTGGACATTCACTAGCAATGTGTCCTCTTCCTTGACACTTGAAGCAGACTATCTCACGAGCTCTAGTAGTTGATGCTTCGGTTTTGACCTTGAATTCTGGTTTAGCAGGGACTGATTTAGTAGACACCACAAACTCAGCACTTGGTTTTTCTTCTTTAGCAAAGCTTGGTTTAGCCGTAGATGAACTAACTCCAAAAGTTGATCTAGATCCTCTCCGCTTAAGCTGTTGTTCAACCAAAATAGCTTTGTGATATATCTCCTCTAGATCAGCATAGCTTTGCATCTCCACTCTGTCTTGAACTTCTCGGTTTAGCCCACTCAAAAACCTAGCGATGGTTGCTTCTTGATCTTCTTCAATACCAGCCTTGATCATCAGAGATTCCATTTCTTGGAAATAATCTTCTACACTGCTGTTCCCTTGAGTCAAGCGCCTAAGTCTCTGGTGTAGCTCCCGGTGATAGTGACTAGGGACAAAGCGTTTCCTCATGAGTGCTTTTAACTCATCCCAAGTATCAACAGGCGGATCCCTATTGCGTTTGCGGCTTGTTGTGATCTGATCCCCCAGTTTATAGCATAGCCATAAAACTCTGTAGCAGCTAGCTTCACCATCTTGAGATCTGAATACTCTTGACAATCATAGATCATCTCGACCTTCTTCTCCCATTCCAGGTAAGCGTCTGGATCATTCTTGCCATGAAAAGGAGGAACTTTCAATTTCATGCCCCTCATGTCATCATCAACACGTTCTCTTGCTCCTCTCCCACGTCTTGGACTGCCTTGTGAAGAAATATCATCACCAACATCGTTTCTAGGCTGTCTCTGCTGGACTGGCACTCCATTTGCATTTCCTTCTTGAATTCTCCTTGGATTAGGCTCTCCTTGTAGTTGATGAATCCGTTGATGTATCTCTTCTACTTGAGTTTTCATCATCTGCTCCAACCGAGCCGCCAATGCTTCCATCAGAAGTTTGTTGTTATCATTGCTGCTTCTGTTTTCATCTTGATGATCATCCATGACCTAGCAATTGATCTAAAAGACAGATCCGAATTTGAAAAGACCACTCTGCAAACAGATCCAAGCTTCTATGTGTGCTCTGATACCAACTGATGTGATCCTCCCAAAGATCGGCACAAAGAGGCTTGAGAGAGAGCTAAAATAGAAACAGAAGGTGCGGAATAGACTTCTGTTCTGAGATATAAATTGATAAAGATGTTGCTAAGCAACGAATCGATCACAAAAGAGAGATAAGAGAGGATAAAGATGTTGCACAAAGCAACGAGTCACTCTCTGAGATAGATGAGAAATGATAAAGATGTTGCACAAGACAACAAATCACTCTCAAAAGACAAAGAGAAGTTTCTCACAGTTTTGATAAGAGAAAGAGTTTTTGATAAAAAAAGAATGATTAATTTTTGGTGATCCAATCCAGGATGATTATTTCTGGGATCTTACATGAGTTTATAAAGAAATAAAAGTGCCAAAAACAAAGCAAGGCACGAAATTCTCAAAGCATTAAAGTGCAAAGACTAGAAATAATGACTAAGGTTGAATAACTCTTCATCTCCACTTGCCATGACCTTTAGGCTTCCTTTGGACGAAATTTGATTGTTCTTCTGGCTGGGCATAAGTCTTGAATCAACAAACTGGGCTTGAAGAGAAGTGATCACCATTGCCTCCTTAAAAACCTTCCTTTGGAAAACCCATTGGGACAAAACCAAAGGTAAGGGAAAAAGAGTACAACTGGGACACTTAGCCATTTGTTGATCTTCTTGGGATTCTTTTACAACCAGAGTAGTTGTAAACACCTCTTCTTCCTCTTGGTCCAAGTGTCTTGGCCGAATATAGTTTTGAACAAGTATTCCTCCATTTGTTCCCTTGAGCTTCTCGGCATTAACTCGGGTCTTAGTACCATCTGGATCAAACAATGCCTCATTCTCTAGCTCATCCACTGGTCCAAGCTCTGGTTCAGGCTCTGGTGCAAGACCAATTTCTTTATTGCTGGCCATGATCATATCACTCCCCCTCCTACCATAGAGACTGTCGCCAAGAAAGGTTCACATCCTTCCTCTATAAGATTCTCGGCATGAATCATCGAAATGACTGGCACTCTTGTGTCGGTCTTTACTCTTTGAAAGACAATCCAACCTCCTTGATGCGGAACATAGGCCCTCGACTTCCGGCAATTCAGGACAACTTCATAATGCTTCAGCCAGTCCATTCCAAGGATAACATCATAGTGGCCCAAATTCATTTCCACTAGAGTCCAAGGAAAATCTGCTCCTTCCAACAAGATAGGCACCTCTTCATGGATTCCAATGGTCTCCACCTGCTCACTTCCAGCAGTTTCCACTGCTTTCAACCTGGGGGTGAACTTTCCAGAGAAGGTCCAACACTTGGTCAACCTCGGGCTCACAAAGCTATGTGTGGCACCGGTGTCGAACAAGGTATATGCAATCGCGCCCCCTACTGAGACCGATCCTACATGATTACTTATATCTAGGCATGCATTTCCATTCTACATTCATATTCACAAGCAAAAATATAGAATCTCACAAAACATTACTAACCAGCGATCGTTGCTGCTCCTTCTCGGGATCTCCGATGGCGAAAACACGGGGTTCCACAGCTTGCCTCTTAGCTGGTGGTCCTGGCAATGCTCCCACTCCTTGCTGAGGATTCGCATTCTCCGGGAAATCCCTCATCTGATGGCCACTCTTCCCACAACGGTAGCACCGGTTAGTTCCTACGACTGTGCAATTCCTCTCATGGTGGCCAATACTACCATAGCCATAACATTTGTGGGCGCCACACCTTCCTGGGTGCTTCCTTCCACACCTCTGACACATTACAGCTGCCCCTGGAGCTGCCATAGTGTCCCAAGTCCTCTTTGGCCCTTCCTGAGCACGGTTTGGACGAGACTGAACCTGCCTGACTCTCCTCAGCTCCTGAAGCGAAGTCTCTTGGATGGCAGCTGTCTCCACAAGCTCCACCAGGGTGGCATATCTCCTAAGAGAACACCTGCTCCTCAGCTCCAACTTCAAGCCCTTCATAAACTGACGAACCAAATCTGCCTGCGTGAACTGCTTCCTGGAGAACCTCCTCAACCGATTGAACTCCTCCTTGTACTCCCTCACAGTACGGTTCTCCTGACGCAGGTCCTCAAAAGCACTCTCCATCCGATCTAAGGCTTCAGGTGGAAAATACTCTGTAGCAAAAGCTTCCTGAAAATCCCGGTAGGTCAACTCATAACGACCCTGAGTCGCTTCGACCACACCATCCCACCATATCAGCGCCTCTTCCTTCAGGTACTGAACAGCTAGATCCTTCTGGTAACCCTCCGGACATCTCATGGCTTCAAAATTCTTTTCCAACCTCTTCCTCCAGTTATCCGCAGACACTGGGTTAGACCTCCCGCCAAAGGCATCCATTCCCATATCCTTCAAATGTTTCATGGCCTGATAATAGGTCAGCCCAAACACATTGACAGGCGCAGGAGACGGTGGAGGCACATACTGCTGCTGAACAAACACAGGCGGCACTACCACAGGCGGCGGCTCAAACACTGGCGGCTGCACATGCTGCTGCTGCTGATGCTGCTGCTGCTCCTGCTGAGCATTCACTCCCACTCCAGGGTTCAAGTCGCCATACGTCTCCCGATAACGGCGCAACTCCTCCAAGACTGCAGCATGAGCTGCTTCTGGTGCTGGAGGCACTTGAACAGGCACACCTCTCGTAAGGTTCTCTCCCTGCTGATCCACTGGAGCTGGAGGCACAGTCTGCTGAGTCACTGGGGCAACACTTCCTGATGTGTCCGTGAACTCATCAGCACCACCTGAACGACGAGCTTGGGTTTTGCGCGCATTCTTTGCCCTCGGGGGCATCTGACAAGACATGGAGACAGATAAGTTAGCCCGGTCCCGTAAATACTAACTTCCTACAAAAGAAAAGAACAACAAAAACTAGAGAGGCTTATCTAGGTGGTGGTTTTCTTTCTTTGAAAACATTTGGAAAATATTTGAACTTTGAAAACTTGAAAACTTTTAAAAAACTTTTTAAACCATTTTCCTTTTGAAATCTGAATCTCATTCCCATTATTCTAGACTCAGCTCCCTTAACACCTAGTTCGAACCATGCTCTGATACCAAATTGTAACACCCCGATTCCTGGTTCCGAAGGAAACCAGAATAAACCGGAATATTAACTAACCTAAACTAAATAAATTTCAAATAACCAGTTGTTCTTTATTCAAATCCAAATTTAAATCCAAGTTTTACAATAGAAAGGAAATAACTTATTAAATCCGAAAGAAAATAGAAACATTGTCTTAAAAAAAAATGTGAAATAGTTCTTAAAAACAATAAAACTTCCTCCATTTCTGGAGGCACACCACACTAGAACTACTTGTCTAGTTCCTCCCAGACATCATCACAATCACAATCACAATCACCTGCACATCAGAATTTAGAGAGAGAGGGATGAGTAATTTGGGAGAATTACTCAGCGAGAACCAAACCAGCCTCCCGCCTTGTTCATTTATTTCCACCAACATATTAAGAATAAATCTAATGAAACCAAACAAGCACTCTACAAGTGCACAAGCAACTAACAAGCAGCGATGTCTCCGATCCCGCCCCTCAATAGGCCAAACCACCTTGTCACTCGGACACAGGTCGACATCCCACCCTGTCACACAGACAGACACCCTGTCACACAGACAGAGACCCTATCACACAGACAATCCAATCCTGGCATGCCACATGGACAGCCCCGTGGGTCATCACTCCACCGGATGAATGGATTATTGCCACGGTCACACAGACGGCACATAACCCAGCAAACAAGCCTGCATTCGGCACATCGCTATACCAGAAACAGACTATGACCTTTAGGACTTCTACCAATCACTAACTAATCATCAGGGTTATGAATCAATCATGCTGGTTCTTCCTCTAATGAGATCCTAGATCTTATTAGTTTTATATATATATATATGGATCTGCCTAGATGCACAAGAAGACAGACCTGTCCCACTAGATCTAGACTCAACACACTAGATGAAGATAAATGGATAAGAAGAAAGACCTAGATCTAATCCTCTGAGATTAAGGAGAACTAGAAGAGGCAAAAGAATCAAGCAGCTTCTGAGAAGGTGGAGGCAGGCGAGTGCTCCTTCTTCTCTCAGCAAGGGGCGGCGGCGGCAAGCTTCTCCGGCGGCGGCGGCTCTTCTCCTCGGCGGCGGCGTGCAGCTTCTCCTTCTCTCTCTCACTTTCTTTTCTTTGGGGGCTAGGATAATTAGAGGCAAAATGAGGCTCATTAACTCCTAATTCCCTATTTATATTAGGGTTTCTGGAGTGGGCCTGAATTTGCTGGGCCTCCTCTAATTGGGCTGGGTTTGGGATGTTACAACAACAGTGCTACATACTCTTTTCTTTTGGATAATCTCGTAAGGCACAAGAAGTTTCAAGCCGTTGATGCGATTCTTAACCAGATGAAGTATGAGACTTGCAGGTTCCAGGAAGGTGTGTTCCTCAACCTAATGAGACATTACTCCAGGTTCGATTTGCATGATAAAGTCATGGAGATGTTTAACTTGATCCAAGTGATTGCTCGTATGAAGCTTTCTCTTAATGCCATAACTACTTGTCTCAACCTACTTATCGATTCATGGGAGGTCGAGTTGGCGAGGGAGCTCCTCTTGTATGCTAAAAATCATCTTGGATTGCACCCAAATACTTGCACGTTCAACATTCTAGTGAAGCACCACTGCAAGAACGGTGATGTCGACTCTGCATTTCGAGTTGTGGAGGAGATGAAAAGATCTGAAATCTCGTATCCCAATTTGATCACTTACTCAACGCTAATGGAATGTCTGTTTGCACACTCGAGGTCGAAAAAAGCCATGGCATTGTTCGAAGATATGATCTCGAAAGAAGGGATTTCGCCGGATCCCATGACTTTCAACGTTATGATTAACGGGGTATGTCGTGCAAGGCAAGTTCAAAAAGCCAAGATGATTATAGAATTCATGAAGAAGAATGGATGCAACCTCAACATGTTCAATTACTCGGCTCTAATGAATGGGTTTGCATGACAGAAAAAGTGGACAAGTATCTTTTGTGCCTTGGTGAGAATTTTCTAGACTAAGTTGTGGATTGATGCACAATCTATGGTCCTAGTTTAGGAGTTTATGTCTCTAAGATTTGTTTGGGGACAAACAAAGGTTTAAGTCTGGGGGAGTTGATAACACCGTATTTTGACCACTTTTGTGGATCGTTTGGAAATACTTTTTCTATGTATTTTATCGCTTTCAAGTACTTTTATTATGTTTTTCTAGTATTTTTAGTTCTAAGACTCTTTTCAGAAAACTTAGGGAAAAACTTAACAAAATGGATAGAAGGCCAGATTTTCAGCTCAGAGTCAAACTGTCAGAAGTTCACCCCCGATTGAAGGCCTTCTCACCTCTGATCCAGCTCAAATTTGGAGATCTCAAAGATGGAACTATCAGCTTTCCACCACACTTTACAGCTTGACAATCCAACGGTTCAATCAAACGCGAAGAGCAAGATGTCCCGTAAACCAGCCAGCAAGCATTTCATCCCGCGGCCAACAGTCATTTCACCACGGTCATAGGCAACAAGACCGCAGCCAAGCATCCATTCACCGTCGCCACGTGCCTTCCGACCGTGGCCAGCCATCTCCGAGTTAGAAGGCCCATTTCTGAAGCCCAAAATGATTCTCTCATTTGGAGAAACCCTAAGTGACGCCCAGAAATGTATTGAGCACTATAAATACATGTTTTAGGAACCCTAATTCATATGCCATCTTATTTTCTTATTGTTTTAGAATACTTTTTAGATTTTTCATATTTTTGCTTTTAGGGAGATAGAGATCTATCTCTTGAACCCTTTTTCTTTCTTCTTCAATTTTGATTATTGCTCAACTTTTTAATACTATGTTTTTGATTTTGTTCATTATGTCTGAGTAGTTTTATTGTTGGGTGAAAGGGATTTTCAATGGGGATAAATGTGTTCGATGAGGGTTCCATGAGCTATTGAAGCCGAGTCCTAGAAATTTTTCTTCTGAATGTACTTTTAATGCATGGGAGTAGCGTCATAAACTACAATCTGATTCAGATCCTTGGTGATACGAAAGTATTCATCTGGTGTCAGATATAGATTGGGAGAGCAAAACAAACATAGGAGTGGAAACCTACCTATGGGCGATTTGTGAATGCTGAGGAGTCTTAAACATATTGCATCTTTTCTCTTCTATGGCCAGAGTGGAAACCTACAGGTCAAGGTTGAGAGACATAGTTGTCTATGATCACAACAGTGGCCTATTCATACGTCCGTGACTCGAGTTCGAAAAGTTTTAGCTATGATCTTATTAAATATACTCTTTAGCAATGTTTTGAATCATTCATACCCCGGAGAGAATTTCCCTGAAACCCAACCCCTCTTTTCTATTGATTTTCACAGATTTTATTTCAAGCTTTAGTTCATCATTTTCATTCTCTTAGTCGATTTTTATTTAAACAATTAGGTTAGCCGTTTTTCTCGTTTTTAGTCGATTTTATTAAGTTTAGTTATTAGGTCATTTTAATTTTTGTAGTTTCTCGTTAATATTAGTTTTTACGTTTTAAAGACACCACCAAAACCCTTACAAAAATCGCCTTGTTCTAGATTTCCTTACTTTATATTTCTTTCGAAGGCTTTTGCAGGAAATATCCTCCTTCCCTGTGAATTCAATCCCTAAGTACTACAATCGATCAGCTGTGCACTGCGGCTATTAATTTCATTTAGGATAAAACTTGACACCCTCACCACACGACACATCACTGATCAAGTAAATCATCTAGACATAGGATAGGAAAATGGAAACGGATGGTGATTTTGTTAATAGCACGACTGCGTACACACATTCATCACGATCCATCTTTATAGAACTTGACAAAGCAGGGACAGCACAAGGGCTCAAACTTTCCTGAATGTCTCCTTTGGCGAGTAAACTTTCCACTTGGTGAAGTAATTCTTCGTGTTCTTGAGGACTCATGTGGTAATTAGGATGATTTGGTAATATAGCCCCCAGTACAAGGCCAATTTGATGTTGTATGTCCTATAAAGGAGGTAAACTTAAAGGCCGATTACCTGGAAAAATGTCTGTAAACTCGTGGAGAAGATTCGAAAACGCCTGTGGAAATGCATGATCGGCGGTAGTGGATTTGGTTGAGGAAGGAAGCAGATCCAGCATAAATCTTGACTCTTTAAACTCGGTTTTGATGTGAGTTAGCCGCTTTCGTGGTTAGAGATTAAACCTTAACGTAGCTTGCATTCAGCAGAAGAGAACACAGTTCTGGCGTCAGAAGTAGGATTATCTTGCAAATTTCAAACAAGAAACTGTAAGTGTTTTCTCCCCATAATGGCACGTGTCATGATCAAATTGCCACATACACCCTAAGGTCAGATGACTAACTTCCGTTGGAGCAACTAGGTCTCGAGCCCCCCGCGAAATTGCAGGGAAATAAGGTAGGTTAAATTTTAATTATTTTAAATATTTAGAAGTTAGCATACATATAACAAAAGGTGATAACACTTAGATGTAAATATTCAATTTTTTGAAAAAAAAATACCTACTATTATAAAAAATAAATAGATATAATTTTTAAAAATATAAAGATACAAAGACGAACGAAGCCATACAAATCAATTAAAATACATTTATATTTGAGTTCATAGTTTACAATTAATGTAACAATGTATAACTCAACATATACATCCATATAAAAGACAATTATACAATTGACATTGAGAAGAACTTAAAAAAATTATAATCAACATGATCACTTTTATCGATAGAACTCAATCGTTGATAGTTATACTTTTACAATGACAAATTTTTAAAAACACTATCATGATATGAAATATTAAAATCTCCAAACACGATCTTGTTTGCAACAAATTGAGAACAATGGTTGTTTACTAATTGCATCTGGTTTCAGTACTTTCTAATGACCAAATCCAATCATTCATATCGGGACATGGAATTAAGTTATTATTTAGTTCCTTTTTTCCTGGTGTTCCTCTGTTTCTTTTAAATTTTTAACATTATTAGTTTTAATATTTTTTATATAAAAAAACACTTATGATATTATGACTAGCAATAGAAATACTCACAATTCCAACCTTTTTTTTGGATAGTGCTATCGTTTGATTTTGGTTGAAAATCACCATCTATTCAAAAATGAATTTTTAATTTATATATATAAATTAACGTTCCAAAAATATTTTTTTTTACAAAAATATTTAATTTAAATGATGTACTGTTAATCGAATATTGTTGTTGGGAGAAATTTTCTAATTCTATTAAATTTCCGGTATTCATTGATTTTTTATACTTTACCGCAAGCAAAATATTTTTAAAAATATATTATATTAATTTCATATTGACTTTTACACTCTTAAATGGAGGATAACACAATAACAATTCAAACATTATCAGCCAAGTTTTAAAGCAACCTACATGAGTAAATTTTAAAAACTGATAAAGCCAATATATAATAACTAAATTTGATCATATTATTTAATAAAGAATACTTTCTTTGTTTAATAATAGTAAAATCGTAGAATTTAATATAATTTGGCAAGTTGTATCTTCTTAATGAAAAGTTGTGCATCTTCAATAAGTAATTGTGTCATTATTTTGAGAAGATACAATGCTTCAATATTAAAAAATAAATTGTTTAAATTTTGAATAGTTGCAATAGTTTAATAATCATAAACTCAATAGGTGCAATAGTAAAAAACCTTAATTTCAAGAGTTGCAATATTTAGTAAATAACTATAAACTCAAGAGTTGCAATGGTTGATAAAATGATCATAATCTCTTAATTAATTTAAAAATAATAATAAATACAAAGAAAAAATGGATCATTCAGAATTTTTCATATCATTATTTTCTTCACAGATTTATGTTTTTTTTTTTTTGGTTCTTCATAGCCTTTGCTTTTGTCTTGTCTCCTTCGGTCATCAGCGGCTTGAGCAGGATTCAGAGGGACTCGGTTTCCCTCTTCAGTGAGTTGTGGCTGGCCATCTATTTCATGGGCAGCATCTAAGTCGTCACCATGAATAGAATCACGGTCAGCTTCTCTAATGTGATCCTCCTGATCATGGTTTAAAAGATCTTACCGATGGGCATTCAGATTGGCCATCTTGAGCGTTTTTCTTCTGAGTTTTCTAAGTGCTCTTTCGTATTTGTTAATCTCGTCTAAGGGCAATACGATGTCGTAAGGATTTCTCCTAGTTTTCATGCACCTGTGAGCAAAGAAAGCAAAGATAAAAAGAGGAGTTAGAAAATCTCCAGCAGAACTCGAAAATCTTGAGGTTTAAATTAGATTAAGAAATCAAGTCAACAGCGACAAATCCCTGGCAACGGCGCCAAAAACTTGATGTGAGTGTAGTGGACAACACAAGTTTTACCCTAAACAGGCTGCAAGTGCACAGCAAACGCAGTAGTACTTAGGGATCAAACCCACAGGGATTTGTGTGTTGAGGACTTCTAACTGATTTTAAAAACAATCGTAAACCTAATAAAAAGGGGTTTTGGTTTGTCATTAAATCTAATTATGCAGAGAAATAAAAAGCTGGAAATAAAAACGGTTGAAAACTATATGAAAAACGGTGTTGGGTTCAACGTTCATCTTTAGGGTTCATGTTCTAAAACACAAGGAATTTAGGCAAGGATTTTCTATGACTCTGAAACTAGGATAGACACATGTAAGATTAGCCAACTCTTGTCACCCTAATCATCTAATCACTCATTCATGGCAATTAACTCTCGCTCTCATGCCAGAACAAGATCATGCTTTGTAGATCAGAATCCATCTCGATTTATGCATCCTCCATAGGTAGCTTTCGTCTTCTACGACGGTGACGTCCATAAGGTCCAAATCAGACAACCCAGATACAACACTCTCACGGTTCGGATTTTACCTAGGATTGGATTCTGGGTGATCAAATCCAGAATTACAGCTTTGAGATTTGGATGAATGGGAGAATCATGTTAAAAATCGAAATCTTTTTTCCTAAAAACCTA